CATAAAGTCACTTAACTATTGAAGTGTTATGATAGCACTCCCTTCTGCATTGAGTATGTTACAAAACAGCCAGTTTAAAGGGGACATCCATCCTATATATCCTGATTAGAAGTATTTCCACAAAACAGAAAATTATATGTTACAGGATCCTGTTATTAGTTTTAATTAAAAAAATAAGAAAAAAGACAGAAAAGACAACATGATTTAAGGTGTGATATCAGTTTTCAAACACCCATTTCCAATTCTGTTTAGCAAGAAGAGATACTGAATTGTGTGGAGCTATACATGAAATTTCCATTTTCTAAATAAGCACTCAAGAGCTGAGCTGGGTTTTTTTTGTTTAAGTAAGCACTAATAAACATGACCAATCCTTTAGGATCCGAAAGAACCTTACAGACCTTGTAATTCTCAGAAGCCTAACTTTTTTCCCCATAGTGTAATTCATTCTTTTGAACTTCTGCAGAAGCAGAACTTAAGTCAACAATTTCTAAATTTCTGGCAGTTGTCATTAAGGTGACTCTTGGTGCTCCAAAAGTATATCTATTATCTTGCAGCGTCAATGTAGCAGACCTACACAGTCATGATGTTTAATTATAGAGAAAATTGCTTTTTTTTCTGAACTATCAATTAATTCATGTTTTCAGATCTTGCGCAAAATAATGCATGTTATTTTCATCTGCATTATAAAGTAGTTCATTACCAGCTTCCTGAGGATTTTTTAAATTATCACCATTTCATTTGTTGAGAATGGTGTTCTTGGAAATTATAACTGCACAGATTCTTAGATTTACTGTTAAAAGATTTCAGGGAATTGAAGATGTGAATTCAGAAATAATATATTTAGGGTCAAAATCTGTCTCTCTTGAACTCAGAGAGCTTTGCCTTTGACTTCAGTGGGTCCAGAGCCTCCTTTCCAGTATTAAAATGCAGAGTAATCACTAACTGCTTTTTTTTTTTTTTTGCTGACCTAAAGCGCTTAAGATATTGTTGAAGTCATTTGTCACAAGTAAATATGTAATAAGATGGAATAATCTCTCAAGTACTGGATTAGACTAGACATGCTTTTGGCTGAAATGATGACCAGCAAGAGCAGCAGCACAGAGGACTCAAAACCAGGAAAGCTTAGACTTTCAGGGTTATATTTGTTTTGGAGTAGTTTCACCTGCTTTTGCTCCTGTTTTGCATAGTTTCACCGCAGGCTTGTGTCTTGGAAGGTGGTTCCTTTCCGTGTATTTAGGGGAATAAGAGTTGAAGAACACTTCAGTTAAAACCCTGGTCATCTAGGATGTAGGCTTTATGGTGCTTCTTGAGCAGTAATCTTAATGCTAGGAATTAAGATGTAATATTTGAGGGGAAAGTTAGAAATCGGTTTGACTATCCTCCCTATATTGAGGTACAGAATGGCATCTTAGAGAACAAACTGAGTGTTGTTGAATCAGAGTGAAACTAGACTGGAAAGAAAAATGTAAATGCTAAGTAAAGTGAGAATTTTTGGCTGTATCAAATAGGAATGCTAGATATTGAGGGATTTTGCTCAGAAATTATTTGGAAAAATAGGTGGAAGTTATGGTTTGAGGAATCTGAGAATTATCCTGGTTTTTTTCTGCTATCTTTACTCCTGACATCTCTCCTGTCTTGCCTGTCTCATCTTCCTTCCCCACTCCAACAGACCAAGTACCACTTAAGTCAAAACCAGCTGCCCGCGGCTGATCTGGAGCCAGCCTCTCTTCTCCGGGAGCATCTCTGGACCCTGCCTGTTCATCAGGCATGCTGCTGGAGTGAGAAAGGTTGTTGCATTCAGCTAATTTGTTGCCAAAACAGCAATATTTTGGCTTATTTATCAGAAGGAAGTCTTCTTCATCCTTGGCCTCGATGGTAGTTTAAACTTGACTGGACGGGGCTCTGAGCAACCTGGTTTAACTGGATGGGCTTTGAGCAGAAGACCAGACCAGAGACCTTCCAACCTCAGTGGTTCCCTGAGTCTATTCTGTATTTCTCCTGTGTTGTGGAAGGAAGAAGATGAGAGAGGATAATGACAGCAGGAAATGTTCACATTTCAAATAATATTTCCATTCCTCTCTATCTTGCAGTTCACAAATAGGGAAATCTGTGTAAACTCTACTTGTTCTACCCAGGAATATATATGTTGTACTGCGGGAAGACAAGCTGCACTGCAGACCTTGTATTTTGCTTTGCCGTGCCCTTCCTAGTGCTTAATCTTGGCTCTGTTTAGTTTTCTTTCTGTTCTCTCTCTTCGCTCCTAATCCTTGTCCATGCTTATAAGCCCCTAATATTTATATGGCATTATCTGTGTTAGAGATTACTGCTGACAAGTAATCTCTTCCCTCTTCTGAATGAAGAATTACAGCCATTGCTAAAGATCAGAAAGTGAAATTAGATCCCCCAAAGTATGTGACAACTTCAATGAACCCTGATATCGAATTCTTTAAATATTGGGAATCTTCTTTTGAGCTTTTAGGTTTGAACTGTAGCACAGCTTTGGGACATCTGACTACACTCAGCAACTCTTTCTTACTGTAGAGCAAGACGTGACAGTAGTTGCAGAGAAAAAAAAAATCACGAAAAAAAATCACTGAACTGAGACTAGTCTCCCAGTTTTGTCATTTGTTGCAGTCTGTTTATAAATAGATAAATATTAATGCATCAGTTTTACTGCTATCGGGTGATTCATAACATTAAATATAAAAATATAAAGTTATATATAGGTGTATATAGAGGTGTAAATATAAATATAAATGTAAATGTATATTAAGGTAGTTGCTATCTCTTCCAGTGTGACCTACAAAGAACTGTTTTCATGACCTTTTTTTTTTTGTTTTTCTCTCCTTAGAGTGGACAAAATTACGACTTTTTGAAAAACTCAGAAATGTCCATGCAAGCTTTGGTATTTGTACAGTGCTTGTCCAGTAATATGTGTGCATAGTTGTATAGTTTTGCATATATTTGTTGTAATTGTGGGAACAAATTCAGCATGGGACCAGGATAATTTCAAGGAAGCAGAAAGAAAGAAAGTGCAAAAATGAAATTTCCTAGTTATTGCAAATGACAAAAATGACTGTCTGTCACAACCGTTATAAGCCAAATGGACTCCAGGTATTAGAATCACAGAAGCTCTCCGCGAACCTCTGTACTGTTGTAGGTCACATAAATTCTACTAAAAATACTACAATTAGCAAAGAGACATTTGTGATCGTGTTTAAAGAAAGACAAAGGAAATTGTCTAGACAATGAGTTTGTTAAATTGTAAGTTATACCGTGACGATGCATCAGTGATGAAGGAAATGTGGCGGCTCTAAAATGTGTGTGCTCCAGCTCCATGGCCTGGGGAAGGTTTCTAATATACCTGATTAAGACTATCTCCTTGTATTATTTTTAAACTTTTTTTATGGCAATACAATAACAAAAAAAAATCCATTGCATTTTCAGAACTATCTTTAACTTTGTTTCCAAATCTACAGAAGGGCCCGTTTTAATGACTTTAAATTCTTTTATTTTTAGCTTATATCCATTCTTACAAATTATCCTTGCTCATCAAGAACAGCTATTCAAACCAGTATACAACACACAGAACTTGCTGTATAATTTGATCTAACCTAAACCAGCGCTCCAGTTAGTCTTTCTAACGTGGTTTCTGTTCCTCAAGCAGTGACATCATGGCCCATCCATCCTTTTTTTGTTGTTGTTTTTAATAAAATGGTGCACACAGTGACCCTTGGTGCTGTGAAAAAGAAGCCAATTCCCACAAGTAATTTGTCATTAGGGCAAATAAAGTGCTGTGAATAAACACCTACGATGTAACATGGCAACATGTTATGAAAGAGCTGGGGAAAACGCACATGTCTGCTTCAAGGAAAAGCACATGGGTTTCCTCAGAGTGGGGTTTCATAAGCAAAAGAAAATGTATAATGTATAGATTGGGGAGTTTAAAAAAATCTGTTATTCAAAATGGTAAATATTTAGATTGAAACACTGACTTTTGGTATATGGAATTTTTATTATACATCAACTTAGTTTAATTTTTAACCCATCTTTTTATCTAACCATCTATACCCACTGTGCAAAAAGAGGAAGTTTTCAAGGCTTACTCTTTTTAAAACCTTCATGAAGTTTTAAAATTGACTGTTAAATGTGTCACAGATCCTCAAAAATCAGAATAAATAAAAGAAAAACAATTTTGAAAGTTTTGAAAACAAGTTGTGATACTAAAATTAGATATCTAAGTCTCTTACTGTTTGTTCTGAACTTTCAGTGTTTAAATGTAGGTGAGTTACGCATAAAAGTAAAACATTTTCCGTGTTTTTTTAACTATAAGGGACAGCACCTTGTGGAATCTATTGGAAGTGTTAATATTTGTATGCTTTGGGGATAATTTTTTATGGCAAGTTTCACATGTACAAGATTTCATTACCACAAATTCATAATAACAGTCAAGTCCTCCTCCCGTATTAAAAATAGAATGCTATGGCATTTTTCTTATGTGACTAATACGTTGTGACTAAGGTTGAGAAAAATGGTGCATCCTTCTTGATAACTAAATCCTACCTATCTGCTGGGGTAGCTCTCTAGCTTGTTTTTTTAGAATTATAGAATGCTTTAGGTTAGAAGGGACCTTTAAAGGCCATCTAGTCCAACCGCCCTGCCATGAGCAGGGGCATCTTCAACTAGAGCAGGTGGCTCAGAGCCCCGTCCAGCCTGACCTGGGATGTTTCCAGGGATGGGGCATCTACCACCTCTCTGGGCAACCTGGGCCAGGGTTTTTTTCCCTGTTTTTTTCCTGGACCAAGGAATTTCTTCCTTGTATATAGTCTTTTAAGCCCATGTCTGCTCCTGCCCCAGCTCTGCTACTCCATAACCAGCCTCTCTGAGGTTGCGTCTTCTGAAATTTAGACAAGGATTTAAAAAACCCTGATGATCTTTGTGGGAGTAGATACTGGCTCCAAATAAAACACCGGAACACTTGTTTTTTCTCCTGGTTATAGGCTTCTGGATCATGATGTGGAAGTCCTGCAAGCTCTTGATCTTTATAAAGGACCAAGATCTGGGCAGGTACAGGATGGAGAGATGGCTCTGTCTGGAATGTGGCAGAAAATAGGAATTAATGTGACTTTGGCAGAGGGAAAAAAGAATGGCTGGAGCAAAAATGTTCTGGAGAAAATGTAAACACAAAAAATGTGCTAACTAGACATTGTCTTTCTCCAGCATGCTTTTGGGAAATGCCCATCAACAGGTTTAGAATATTTCATATTGTTGTTAGTTTATTTTCGGGTCATTTATTTGAGTGTCATAAAGAACATTAGCTGGTGGTTAGGGACTACAATATTCATTATATCATTCCAATCATGTGGACAAGTTTATACTACATATGATTTACAATGGCCTTTCCGCAGTTAAAATTGTTAAATTCAGGTACAACACTTTATACATGGTTGTATTTAGTAAAATCCAAGCGCCTGAGCACAGAGATGCCTTCCGATCAAAGTCCAAAAAATTAATGCTTTTACACAAACACTGTGGGTTGCAGCAAGAGCTGTTTATGGCGCTCTGCCTACATCCTTTATCATGTCTCTGCTGTTGTTAGTAAAATATACAGAACTACTTTATGCCAAAACAATGGAAGTTAATGCAGATAACTTGTTCCAAAGTTAACCATCAAATAAATCTTCTTTTTTTAAACTGTTAAGTGAAATGGTGTTCTAAAACTTTAAAAAATTGTCAAGATGATGAATACTGTGTGTGTAATACAAGTAAATACCACAGAATTGATTGCACACACGTGTCTTGAATAAAGGATATTAAATAGTTTATTCCAGAGAGAGACTGGTGAAGTTTTAGCTAATATTATTAGAAATTCTGCAATGATGGATCAGATTTATAAGGGCTAAAAACTAAGAAAACCTCTTCAGAAATAGAAATGGTGCATTGAGTGGATCATTGGCCAGAAGATTGAAGACAGGCAGGGGGATACAGCCTGCCTAGGTAGTCTGACTTCTCACATGTCTAGCAATTCTTCTTAACGGCAATGATTTTTCAAAATGTCTTAGTTAAATTTGTTTTGGTAAATCTGTCCTCTCAATTCAGTCATAGACTTGGTGGTTCAGGGCAAATCCCTTAACCTGTTTCTCCTTCAGCTTTCCCCATGTGTAAATATATAAAAGTTTATCCTCATGGGGATGTGTCCATACTTTAGAGGAGCCACCACCAGCCAGTTTTAGGTCTATCATTCAGCCTCGACTGTCAAAACGCTGACTTAACGGTTAAGAGCATATATGTATGGGATTCAGCCACACTGAAATTATACTTTTATGCTCTGAGACTCAGAGAGTGGGTAAGTCGCTGAGATGGGAATGGTTTAACTTAGGCTCATTTGGGAACCTGTCTTGTTTATAACGTAGCTAATGGATTTGGATAAGGCTGTTGAATGTGATTGAACTTTTTCTGATTGTATCTACAGAGCAGCTCCAATGAGTGATGGCGAGCAGTGGCAAAAAAGTAGATCTCGTAGGTGATTTGGTCAGTGGCTTGAGAATGTAGATAAACGTGAAAATAATATGCCAAGGGACGGCAAGTGAAATCAAAGAATACACATTACATGGAGTAGTTACGCAGTATACTGACTAAGGAAAGGAGATTTAGGGGGTTGAAGAAAAATCCTCAAAGCAATTAGTCAAGAGTACAACTGCAGTGAAGCTCACATAAAGCGTGCATGTTCTTATTTTGGTAGCAATTTTGAAGAAAAGGGTCTTTTTACATTTAAGGTGCTCCATTACAGGCTAACGGGGATGATTCTGGTGTTTAGGAATATTTCTTTTGACAAAGAGGGAAGGGAGCGGTTTGTTCACAGCCCAAAAACGAGCTGTGACGGAGTAAAACTCTGAAGAACTGTGGAGGAGTTTGATAAAGTGGAGCAAGTGTTGGCTTTAGTAAGCAGTTCAATAAACAGGCTAGAGTGGGTAAACATTTGGAAATTAAAAGGAAACGGAAAATTTAAATGTCTGTACTTATCTGGGAGAACCATAATCATGCTGAAAGGCATGTAAGTAAATAATATCTGTGTAAATTAAGTTGAGGTACAGGTAGGCGTTTGGAATGAGGGTCCCATGGTGGCTCTGCACGTAGTCCTCTTCGTGTTAATTTAGAAGAGTCATGTTTGAATGACGGAGCTTCACTTGAGCGTTTCCTGGGTAAGGACTGTGATTTATTACTACTTCAAATCAAATGGTAAAACTAGATCTGAACAAAATGTTACACTTCATATGTTACAAAAATGAGTTCAGTGTCTTCAATACAACTGTACAAATGCATCCTGCCATTGGGAAGCATTTTAAGTCTGGTCTGAACATCAGATGGAAGATCCAGTGTTGTCTAATATTGTCTGTGGTACCTCAGGAAGGTCATGAGCAGCTCTGCCTCAGTTTCTCCATCTTGGTGTTTGTTACTCACACCTGTGGAAAAAACAAGGGGTGGTTGCTTTTATCCCGTGAATAGATGTACTACTCAATTCTTTTCTCCTAGGCGTGGGGCTGTTTTTCTAATTTGTGATTAATTTTTTTAGCTGGTCATTATAGAAATCAGGCACGGATAGCTGAATAAGAAGATCCGCTTCCATGTCACACATGTTTGGCCGGTGTTATCGGGAACAAACGGCCTTTCTGCATTAGCTTTTGTGTACTGGTGATGAAGCAACTCACTGGGCTCAGTCTAGATGTAGACAAGCCTCACACTAGATTGAACATTACCACGTTTGGCATTTGCTAGCAATCTTAGCCATATTCCTGGCAAAAACGCCAAGACTTTTCTGGCAGAATTGCCTTTTTACTTCCCAGAGATGTTTGCTTCATTTTATTTTAGCAGGCAAATAGTTTTGTTCTCCCTGTTGATGCTGGTGCTGCTGGTGGTGATGTGGTTCAGTGGAGACCTTTGGCTTCTCAGCCAGTGAACCGTAGGTTATTTTATTTCACAGGTATCATATTCACTAAAATTATATGTAAAGCGTGTCATTTACTGAATGCTGGTGGACTTGTTGCTTGGATGGATGTGAAATGTCAACCATGTTTTGTCTTCCCATTTGCTATTAATTAATTTAAAATTACCGGGTAAAACTGAAATCCAGCATAAACACAATACATATTTTTTTTTTTTCCCCCCCGAACAGGTTCATGCCAGAACATAAGCTTGCCCATTTGGAAAAGGTAATCGGTGTTAAAAGAAATGGAGATGCTTATCAATTGGAGGGTCTGCCCGGCCAGCAGAAGAGCAACGCTTTGGGAGGTTTAATGAAAAACAGCAACGCGCATCGCGAGTCTGGACTTTGTGAAGCCCAGCCTGGACTTTGTACCACACAGCACGAGGGGCTGCCTTCCCCATTAACAGCACCGGCGAGACAGAGCAAGTCTGAAGCATCAGAAAGTACAAATCCTTGTCAAGAAGAAGATAAGCAACATCTGACTTTTAACCTCTGTAATATCTTGAGTGGACTGGACTATCAGCAAAGACCTTTACACGTAGTCTGGCCTCACAGGTG